CTCCATACTGCCAACAATCTTCAACAAAGCAGACAAAAGCATACACTGAGGAAAAGAATTCTTATTCAATAAATGGTGCTGGGAAAACTGGATACCACATGTAGAAGACTGAAACAGGACCACACCTTTCACCTCTCACAAATCAACTCACACTGGTGTAAAGACTTGAACATTATGGTGTGAAACTATTAGAATTCTAGAGGAAAACATTGGAAATACTCTTCTAGACATTTGCCTAGGCAAAGAATTTATGAAGAAGACCCAAAGGCAATCACAGCAGCAACAAAAATAAATAAATGGAACCTGATCAAATTAAAAAGCTTCTACACAGCCAAAGAAACTATCAAGAGAGCCAACAGACAACCAAAAATGGGAGAAAATTTCTGAAGCTACACAAAGGCTGATAACTAGAATTATTTAGAACTCAGGAAAACATGCAAAGAAAAAATCAAACAACCCTATCAAAAAGTAGTCAAAGGACATGAACAGAAATTTTTAAAAGAAGACAGTAAAGGCTAACAAACATATGAAAAATGCTCAACATCTCTAATCATTAGGGAAATGCAAATCAAAATTGCAATGAGATATCACTTATCTCCAGTAAGAATGGCCTCTATCAAAAAGTCCCCAAACAATAAATGTTGGCATGGATGCAGAGAGATAGGAACGCTCCTACACTGCTGGTGGGAATGCAAACTGATTCAGCCTCTGTGGAAAGCAATATGGAGATACCTTAAAGCGATACAAGTAGATCTACCATTTGATCCAGCAATTCCACTACTGGGCATCTACCCAAAAGACCAAGAACACTCTACAAATGGGACACCTGCACTCGAATGTTTATAGCAGCACAGTTCACAATCGCAAAGGTGTGGAAACAACCCAGGTGCCCATCAATACATGAGTGGATTCATAAAATGTGGTATATGTATATCATGGAGTACTGTTCAGCTTTAAGAAACAATGGTGATATAGCACCTCTTGTATTTTCCTGGATAGAACTGGAACCCATTAAGTGAAGTATCTCAAGAATGGAAAAACAAGCACCACATGTACTCACCAGCAAATTGGTATTAACTGATCAACACCTAAGTGGACATATAGGAATACCATTTATCGGGTGGAGGAGGGAGGAGGGGATGGGTATATACCAACACAATGAATGAGATGTGCAACGTTTGGGGGATGGTCACGCTGAAGCTCTGACTCGAGGGGGAGGGGGGATAGGCAATATATGTAACCTTAACATTTGTACCCCCATAATATGCTGAAATTAAAAATAAAATAAAATGTTCTGACTCATGTATTTCCTTTAATTGGAATTTAGATTTGGAGGCTTGATCAGATTCAAATTCAATTTTTTTGGCAAGACTACATTATGGGGCGAGTTTTCTTCAATTAGAAGGTACACAATGTGTAGTTGTCTCTGTTTCCTCCTCTGATTTTTTTTTTGAGCTTGCGTCTCCCTGTGTTGCCCAGGCTGGAGTTGCAGTCACTCAATCATGGCTCACTGCAACTTGGAACTCCTGGGCTCAAGTGATCCTTTCATCTCAAACTCTGTAGATGTTAGGACTACAGGCACGTGCCACCACCTCCCACTAATTTTTTTAAACTTTTGGTAGAGCTGGGAATCTTATCCTTTTGTTCTAATGTGAGTATTGATTAATGCTAAGATCGATGAATTCATTAGATGTTGGAAGATATATATTAATTTGTTACTGATTAGAACAATTTTTACCTACTAGAATATTTTTATTAATAGATACTTCCCATCATCAGTTATTGGTTTCCCAACAGCTTGTGTAGAAATGACAAGATAAATTCTGGATTCTTTCCCTTCGTCCACAAGTGTTCAAAAAAATGACTAATGAATCAATAGCATCCTCCAATGGCAACCAACTTAAAAACATTTAAGTATAGTCATAAACTCTAACATTTACATATATTTGATATTTTTCAATAATTGCAGTTCTTATCCTTTCTGATGTTCAAATTGTCCTATCTTTGGCCTATGGGAATCTCTTTAAGTTGGCTTCTGAGTTCTTTTGACAGAATCTAAGGGATCTTTTGATAGTCTCCTCACTATCTGGTATGACAAGGTCAACTAGAGTCATTTTGTACATTTTCTGCCCCAGATCTAGAGTCTGCCACATATATAAAATGCTGTTTCCGTTTTAGTAAGAGATTTTCCTCACTGCTCTTGAGTTGGTAATTTTTTCCAGCATCTTTCAGTACACAGAAACATTGGGTTTTCTGTTTGTTTTGTTTTTTTGAGACAGAGTCTCACTCTATCACCTCCAGGTTGAGTTTAGAGGCATCATCATAGCTCACAGCAACCTCAAACTCCTGGGCTCAAGGGATCCTCCTGTCTGAGCCCCTCAGTAGCTGGGACTACAGGCATGCACCACGCTCAGCTAAGGTTTTTTATTTTTAGTGGATACATGGTCTCAACTCTTTCTAAGGCTCGCTTTGTACTCCAGACCTTGAGTGATCCTTCCACCTTGGCCTCCCAGAGTGCTAGGATAGATAACAGCTGTTAGCCACCACGCCCGGCCTGGAATTGATTTTTGAATGTTAAAATTCTCATATATCTTGAATAAATCCCACTTGGTCATAGTATATAATTGGTTTTATCCATTGTTGGAATGTTTTTGTTTTCATGAAACAGGGTCTTGCCTGTCTCCCAGGCTAGAGTGCAGTGACATCATCACAGCTAACTGCAACCTCCAACTCCTGGGCTCAAGTGAACCTCCTGCCTCAGCTGAGTAGCTGGAACTACAGGTGTGCACCACTACACCTGGTTAATGTTTCTATTTTTTGTGGAGACAGGGTCTCACTATTGCTCAGGCTGGTATTGAACTCCTGGCCTCAAGCAATCCTCCTGCGGCTCCTCCCAGAGTGCTAGGATTGCAGGCGTGAGCTACTGCACCAGACCAAAAACATTGTTTTTATTAGCTTTATAATATCCCATCATAGTTAACCATTTAGGTTTCTAGTTTTTCAATATTATGTTATGGGCCGGGCGCGGTGGCTCACGCCTGTAATCCTAGCACGCTGGGAGGCCAAAGCAGGCGGATTGCTAAAGGTCAGGAGTTCGAAACCAGCCTGAGCAAGAGCAAGACCCCGTCTCTACTATAAATAGAAAGAAATTAATTGGCTAACTAATATATATAGAAAAAATTGTCTGGGCATGGTGACACATGCCTGTAGTCCCAGCTATTCAGGAGGCTGAAGCAGGATTGCTTGAGCCCAGGAGTTTGAGGTTTCTATGAGCTGGGCTGACACCATGGCACTCACTCTAGCCTGGGCAACAAAGCGAGACTCTGTCTCAAAAAAATATATATATTATGATTTTTAAATGACATTTGTCCTACATAGAAGACAAATTGCTGGGTCAAAGGATAATGATGTCTTTTAACATTCTTGTCGCAGTGTGGTGACAGCTGTTGTCATCCCTCTTTGGCCAAGTTAGACATTTGCACACAAACAAATCTCTGCTTGTTGCACGCACCTAAAATGGTATCTTTTGCTTTCAATTTATAACTCTTAGATTACGAGTGAGCTTGAACATACTTTCATATGTCTTCTAGCCACTCCTGCTTCCTTATCTAATAATGGTCTGCTCCTGTCTTGTTATTGGGTCCTCCTCCTCCAGCTCATCCTTCTGGTCTGAGTGTTTTCAATGCCACTTGCCCAGAGCCCTCTAGGGAAATCCCACCTGGTCACACTCTTTCGATCTTAGAGCTTGTCTCATTTGTAGCCACATAGGAGACTTTCTGGACCTCTGTCCTCCACCAACCCCCCGTGCCTTGCAGGAATCTCCGTGGGTTGTGTGTGCCTAGTGCTGCCTTTTTAGGGTACATTTTCGATTTGTAGTTGCTATGGGAATTGGATCTTGGGTCCTTCATATTGTCTAACTCTTGCTGCTTTATTGGAAAACTATTCAATTTTTCTTTTTTTCCTGGGCTCTTATTGAGCACTTACTTGTCCGACGGCTTCCCAGGGGCTCCGCACTGCTCCCAGGCAGGGGCGCTACCCTCCTGCCTCGCCTACTCTGCCACTGGGCTCAGCGGGTGTGGAAATCCAGCGGCCTTGGCCCTGCCATCTGAGGACGGCAGGTGCTGGACTGGCTGGCCACCATGACCCGGGGTGCCTCTCCTCATGGGAGTGGCCTTGGGTTGTGGCAGCGTCACCCACCCATACTTTTTGAAAAATGCACCTTAGAGACAGCCACAGGCACACCACATGAGGACTATCAAACACCCAACCCTTGGGCAGGGGACAGGGCTCTTCGCCTGGGGACCCCACTCTCTCCAGTCACTGCCCAGTGGCCGCTGTGTCTTTGTTTTCTGGGTGCGCAGGAGGGTCCGTGACATGTGATTACAGCGTAGCAACCCAGCACAATGTCGCTTCAGGAATCCCTGTCCTAGCATTGGCCCTGGTGTTCCTGTCTAGTGTGTTGGCTAGACTTTCAAAGAACAAGTGAATAAGGTGTTGGCAGCCAGTTTTGTCCCTAGTTTTTGGGTACTGTGGCTTGCAATACAAAGTTTTTTAAAGGACAGTTTTTTTGTGTGGCCTTTAAGAGTTGTATGGGTTGTTTTTAAATCATGATTCTGGACTAAATTGTACCATAAAATTTCCTTCTTTTCAGAATGCTTTCTGCCAAACCAATAAGCTCTAGAATTACATGTTAAAAAAATAAGGAAAAAAACAAAAGAGATTTAATAGGCAGAAGGAAAGAAACAAAACTATTATTTGTAGATGATATAATTTTACCACAAACAAAACTAAATGAAGAAATTATTGGAAATTAAAAAATAACCTGCCTATGTTAAGAGCAATAACCAACTCTAAAAATATAATGGAAAAAAACTATGTACAATAATAAAATGGTATAGGACGTAAGTGAAAATGAAGATAATTAGGAAAATTCACTCAGAATTATAATACTCTAATAAATGGAAAGACATGTTTCTGGATGGGAAACAAAATATGTAAAGTTAATTTTTCCGAAATAGTTTATAGGATTAACCCACTCCAACATTCCAATCAAAATACTTTGGGAAACCTAAAACAAGAAAAATTGATCGAGAATCCCTAAATCACGCCACAGGATTGATTCCATAAAAGCACTGCTGGCCTTGCCTCTAGGCAGAGTACAGGAGGGTCTGGGGATCAGGATGCCAAAGACAACAAATATCCACTACAATGAAGACACTTGGAATCCTGTCTCTTAAAGGACGTGATCTAACCACTAGAGACCTTGTGAGGTAGTGACCACCTCATTGCCAAAGGTCTGATGACTCTGTAAGGGGAGACTGAAGCATATGGTGTAGGTTATTGACCAGACATGGATGCAAGCCAACTTTTTCCTGCCTGTAGGTCTGCCCCTCCTCTCCAGGCTCTTTGGGTTTCCTTCCCAGCACATGAGATCCAGGCTCAACAGAGGGACAAGATTGTGAAGAGCTTTTCTAGTAGTGGGGCTGGATGGGCCAAACTTCCTTCTACAAGGGAGAGGCATGACACAGTCGTTTGAGAAATTAACAGCTGAACAAAACAGTAAGAACAGCAGACACCTTTAAATTATGTTGTGGAAAGGATTTCTGTAAAGCAGTCAATTTTCACCACAAATTGCAAATGTTATTGAAATTTATCATTAGGTTAGATCACATAGGAATAAAAGTGAGACATTCAATTGCTGTAGTTTTCCTGTATTCTAAAGTAAACAATTCCTTTCAACACTCAAGACTTAACAGGTGTTCTAAGAGGGTTATATGAATTGCTATCAGAAGCTGTTGGCTTAACAAATCAGTAGTTTGGTTTTTTCAGGCAAACACAGTTACAGATAAGGACCTTTGATTACTTTTCAAGTATGAATTCCCATGGAGGAAGGGGAAATGGATATACTTTCAATAGACATGAGTCACTCTGTTCAGCTTGCAAGTAAACAGACTCCACGCTCATATTAAAAGTCTTTTTTGGGATAGGGATCTGTGATCTATACATTCTCGTGCTTCACAAAAGATAGTTCCTTAGTTCAAAAAGCCTAGATGCTAACTGAGGTATAGCCCTTAAAGATGTTTCCTTCCCTGTGAATTTTCTAACAAGTTGAGGTTTCAGCCAAGATTGGTATTTATCCAATTTTGGCAATAATGAGGTTTTCACATGTCTGTATCTTTTTAGGCAGCCTGGGAATTCAGAATTCCTTATGAAACTTTTCATGTCCAGATAGGACCATAAGACGTGTCCTAACATCATTTCTGCTTTCGAGTCTTACATGCTGAGTGGGTTTTCTCATGCCGGGTACAGTTTGACAACCGACCAAATCTTCTCCCACATTTTTTGCAACCATATGGCCTCTCAGCCTCATGACTCTGCAGATGAAGCACAAATTCTTCATTTTGGGGGAAGGTTTTCCCACATTCTGGACACTTAAATATCTTCTCCCTTATGTGGATTCCTTCATGGCGACTCCGATGAGAATTTTGACGAAAGTTTTTCCCACACTGAGAACAGGAATAAGGTTTCTCTCCTGTATGGATTCGCTCATGTTTATTGAGGTTTGTTTTATGGTTGAAGCTTCTCCCACAGTGACTACAGTCATATGGTTTTTCTCCAGTATGAGTCCTCTGGTGGGAAATAAGGTAAGAACTTTCATTAAATTGTTTCCCACACAATGGACAAGTATACCATCTCCTTGTTCTCCGATTTTGAGTAAGTGCAATAACATTGATGTCCACATATTTTGAGAGTTCCTCTAGTGGGGTATCATTTTCAATGGTAACTAAAAGATTTCTCATTTTCCTTTTCTTTGGAACAGATGTATTTAGTTTTTCTTCTTCCTGGCAATCTGGAGGTTGCTCAGAGACCAAGGAACAATCCATTTCATCACAATCTAAAGACTTTTCTTTACTCTCTTCATTCTCCACTAGTTCCTTAAGTTCATCACTCCCAGGATTACTGTCATTGACTGCTGAAACAAAGAGAGAATTTAATAAATTTTGAGGGATATGACAACACCAGGCAGGAAAAAACAAGTCAGATTTCTCACGACACAAAAACCTTGAAAGTCAGAAATCCGAGTACTGGTGGATACCGTCATCAACATTCTTTCATTCTTACTGAAGGTGGGATACATGATTCATAAATCTTTCCATTCCCTACCATGCAAAAGCATACAATCCTCTTCTCACTTGAAAAAAAAAAAAAAGTGGGATTGCACTGAAAGACTTCAAATGTTTGTTCTCCATAGGTACCAATTACTCAACAAGTGCATATTGTGTAGAGCACTCAGCTAAGGACTAGGGGATAAAGAACATAAATCATAAAGGACACTATTCATTGTCTTTAGGAGCCTAGTAACTGAATGGCAAGATGAACTGCTTACAGGTTTTTATGATATTAAATAATATTATAATCATTGAATAATATTGTAGTATCCTATACAATGAAAAACTAGAAACAATTCAAATGACCAAAATTAAAGAAGGTATAGCATATTCACACAAAAGATTATTTGACCATTAAAGAGATCACCACAACTGATAAAAGTCAGGAGTGTTTTTCTTTGGGGAAGAGGATGAGTAGTGACTGGGCAGGAGGCACAAGAGGGATTTCTGGGGTACTAGGAATAGCCACTTTTGGGTGGTAGTTAGAGAAGTGCATATATTTTGTGAAAATCTGGGCTGTCTACTCATGATTAATAGGCTTTTCTCTTTTACAAAATAATTTTTTTAAAGTATATGAAATAATAGATTATGAAAAGTAGGTAACAAAGTGAAAATCAAGTATCCTGTGAACATACCTGTGTGACAAGGGACCCTTCAACTCGAACAATTGATTGAGAATAAAGGAAAGGTTTCAAATCAACTACTCAGACATGGGGCTGATCCTGAAGCTGAAATGTGAATCTCTGTGGGATTTAGCAGTTTCACACCAATAGATTTTTCTTTTATATTATTTCTTTAAATCATTTCCTTTGGATAATGAAAATGCTGGGTCAAAAGATATGTCAATTTTTATCCCAGCTTTTGATATGAACTTCCACACTGCTTTCCACAGATAACACAACCACCAACATGTGAATATCAATTTTACCTACTCTTGCCAGCATTAAATTTAGAAATATTTAATTGATATAAATGGTTTCTCATTGTAGTTTTAGCCTGCATTTTGATGATGCAAAATAATTTATCTATTGGGTTAAGAGATATAAATTTTATATATTACAGATGTTAATCTCTTTGTCAATCACTTTTTTTCTTTCTTTTTTTTAAATTTTTATATTTTTAGTAGAGACGGGATCTCACCCTTGTTCAGGCTGGTCTTGAACTGCTGACCTCAAGAAATCCTCCCACCTCAGCCTCCCAGAGTGCTAGGATTATAGGCATGAGCCAACCATGCCTAGCCTTGTCAATCATTATTGATTCAAATAATAGTGTGGTTTTTTTCTTATTTTTGAGACAGAGTCTGGCTTTGTTGCCCAGGCTAGAGTACCATGGCATCAGCCAAGCTCACAGCAACCTCAAACTCCTGAGCTCAAGCAATCCTCCTGTCTCAGCCTCCAAAGTAGCTGGGACTACAGGCATGTGCCACCATGCCCGGCTAATTTTTTCTATATATTTCTAGCTGACCAATTTCTTTCTATTTTTGGTAGAGATGGGATCTTGCTCTTGCTCAGGCTGGTCTCAAACTCCTGAGCTCAAACAATCCTCCTGCCTTGGCCTCCCACAGTGCTAAGATTACAGGCATGAGCCACCACGTCCGGACAATAGTTTTTAATTGAAGTCTTCCTCTTTAACTCCACAACTTAAAACCAGAAAAAAAAAAATCAGTCTTTTAGGATCTGACAAAGTTCTGCTATTTTTTGGCCATTCTTCTACACCTTATTTTTATAGTTTATAATAGTCTCATTTTCACCTTGTTTTGAAAGGTTTATATTAGCCTTATACACAATTGGGCTATATTTTGGCTATGTTTCACTAGTACGACAATTTTAGTTATAGGGTTATAACATGTCTAGTTTTATAAGACCAGCCAAAATATTTCCATCTTTTCAAAAATTTTTAAGTCTTACTGCATTTACAGTATAAATAAATTTAAAGGATACCAATATCTTTATATGACTTTAGTTTTCCCATTTAGAACTCTGTCTCTCCATTATTTAAAAATCTTTTAGGCCAGGCATGGTAGCTCACACCTGTAAACCTAGCACTTTGGGAGGCTGAAGTGGGAGGACCACATCAAAGCCAGGAGTATGAGACCAGTCTGGGCAATACAGCAAGACCTCATCTCTACAAAATACAGAAAAATTACCCAGACATGGTAGTGTACACCTATAGTCCCAGCTACTTAGGAGGCTGAAATAGGAGGATCACTTAAGTTTAGGAGTTTGAGGTTGCTGTGAGCTAGGCTGATGCCACTGCACTCTAGCCCAGGCAACAAAGCGAAACCTTGTCTCAAATAAACAAATAAATAAAAATCTTCTTTTACATTTACCAATAAAATATATTCCCCCCATCATCCAGAAAGCTAACAAAAAAATCTCTTGTTAACTCCTCTACTTATTGTCATTCTAAATGAGAACTTTCACTATTTTGTATTTATTTATGAATGCTATTGATATATATTTATTCCCTGTTTACTTTACAACTATTAGATATAGGCCAGGCACGGTGGCTCACGCCTGTAATCGTAGCACTCTGGGAGGTCAAGGCGGGCAGAATGGTCGAGGTCAAGAGTTCGAAACCAGCCTGAGCAAGAGTGAGACCCCATCTCTACTATAAATACAAAGAAATTAATTGGCCAAATAATATATAGAGAAAAAAATTAGCCGGGCATGGTGGCACATGCCTGTAGTCCCAGCTACCCGGGAGGCTGAGGCAGTAGGATTGCTTGAGCCCAGGAGTTTGAGGTTGCTGTGAGCTAGGCTGGCACCATGGCACTCACTCTAGCCTGGGCAACAAAGCGAGACTCTGTCTCAAAAAAAAAAAAACAAAAAACTATTAGATATAGTAATATTTTAGTGATCCCTTTAGATTTCCTAAATACAAATATTTTAGTCCCCTCCCTTTCTAAAATTTATTGGTCTTCATCCCCTTTTATTTTATTGCTTTAGGAAATTTAGTTAATGATATTGCTAGTGGTACTAGGTTTCTTCATTTTGTTCTCAGTTTTAAGAAATTACCAACAGTATTTTATAAGTTATAAATGTTAGGTTACATTGATTTTAAAGAACTAAATATTTGTTTTAAGGAGAATTCACTAAAACTCATATTTCTCATTTTCCTGCAAGTGTCAATGAATATATTTTACATTCCTTTAGTGTACTAATCTTTAAAATTAAAATTTTAATAGCTAATGCATTTGTATGACTCAAAATCAAAACATGGGACAATATATACTGAGATGCCTTACTCCAACACCTGTTCCCATCCATTCTATTCATTCTACTTTTTATAGTTTTTACAAGTTTCTTTTTATTATTCTGTTGTCTTTTTAGGTGATACCTTTTCTTGCCCTTTCTTATATAAAAGGTAAGGTAGCATACTAGGTATATTTCAACTACTTGCTTTTTCTAATCATAATATGCCAGTGCATAGATTTATCATGGTATGATGCATGGACACACCATATTCAACCAGTCTCCTACAGACACACACTTGGAAGGTTTCCAACCTTGTGTTTTTACCACATGAACAATACCACAGTGAATATCTTTGTTTGTACATCATTTTGAATGTGTTCTGTTGCTGTATATGCCAGTAAAATTCCCAAAAATGGAACTGCTGGATCAAAGGTCAGATACATTTGTAGCCTAAGTAGTTACAAATTCACACACACAGGGACAGTAACATTTTGCATTCCCACCAGGAATACAGCTTTTCCCAACAACCTCACCATCAATGTGTTTTCAATTTCTATAAATCTGACACATGCAGAAAATGTTAACTCAGTAGAGGTTTATTTAATAATATGCATTTCTGGCCGGGCGCAGTGGCTCACGCCTGTAATCCTAGCTCTCTGGGAGGCCGAGGCGGGCATATTGCTCGAGGTCGGGAGTTCGAAACCAGCCTGAGCAAGAGCGAGACCCCCGTCTCTACTATAAATAGAAAGAAACTAATTGGCCAACTAATATATATAGAAAAAATTAGCCGGGCATGGTGGCGCATGCCTGTAGTCCCAGCTACTTGGGAGGCTGAGACAGAAGGATCGCTTGAGCCCAGGAGTTTGAGGTTGCTGTGAGCTAGGCTGATGCCACGGCACTCACTCTAGCCTAGGCAACAAAGCGAGACTCTGTCTCAAAAAATAATAATAATAATAATAATATGCATTCCTAACTGAGTAGAACTGGACATCTTTTCACCTTTAAAGGTAATTTGTCTTAGTGAATTTATTGTAGTCTTTCTTTTCCCTATTTCTAAGAGATGTTTATAAATTAGGAAGATTAGGCTTCTGCCTGATATGAGTTGCAAACATTTCCCCAATTTATTGTATTTATTTGTTTATAAATTTCTTTCTTATTTTGGCATGTATAAGTTTTTAATTTTTATGTATTTTAATCTATCATCAATCTTTTCTTTCAAGGCTTCTGGGCTTTTGAGTCTTAATTATAAATAAAACCCTTCCTATCCCATGGTTTTAAAGGAATTCACCCATATTTTCTAATTGTGCTTTTATGTTTGTTTTAAACATTTAAAATCTCTGATCCATTTGGAGTTCTTCTTGGTATACAAAGTAAAGTACCAATTCACCAATGGCTACTCAGTTGTCTCAATATCTTTTATCAAAAAGTCCCTCTTGGCAGGGCGCGGTGGCTCATGCCTGTAATACTAGCACTCTGGGAGGCCGAGGCGGGAGGATCGCTCAAGGTCAGGAGTTGGAAACCAGCATGAGCAAGAGCAAGACCCCCGTCTCTACTATAAATAGAAAGCTAACTAATATATATACAAAAAATTAGCCAGGCATGGTGGCGCATGCCTGTAGTCCCAGCCACTCGGGAAGCTGAGGCAGGAGGATTGCTTGAGCCCAGGAGTTTGAGGTTGCTGTGAGCTAGGCTGATGCCACGGTACTCTCTAGCCTGGGCAACAAAGTGAGACTCTGTCTCAAAAAAAAAAAGTCCTTCTTTACCTTGATGACTTAATATGCCCACGTTATCACATATTAAATACTCGTGTGTGTTTCAAACTATTTCTGGACTTTTTATTCCATCCCATTGGTCGATCTGTTCTCATGCTGTTTTAATTAAGGACGCTTTCTAGGCTGCTTGCAGACATGGCAGAGTGAATTCCTCTCCTGCCCACAATGCTCTTCCTTTTCAATTTTCCTGGTTAATTGTTTGTATTTGTTTTTTCAACAGAATTTGAAATCAGTTGTCTAGTTTCAGGGGAAAAATCCTGCTAATATTGTTAGAGGAATTTCATCAAATTCATAAATACACTTGGGGACACATTACTCCTTTTTATGATGTTAAGTCTTCCTAGCCAAGAACATGGTATTTCTTTGCATTCATTCAAATCTACTTTTGGGTCTTTTAGAAGTGTTTATAAAATCCCATCGCCTTACTGAATATGAATACTCTTATTATTTGTAAGTTTTCAGACTTCTCCAGGGTTTTCCAGCTACATAATTATAGCATATGTAATAGAGGCAGTTCTATCTTTCTCTCAAATCCTTATATGTTTAATTTATCATTTAATTTCACTGGCTAATACCTGAAACATAGTACTAAACAGTAGTAGTAACAGCGGGCTTCATCGTTGTATTCCTAATTTTAGTGGGAATACCTCCCAGTGCTTCCCATTAAAGAAATACTTTTAATGCTGGCTGAAAGGATAAGTACCCTATTCAGGAAGTATCCACTAATTACTATTTTGTTAAATGTTTTTATGGAGAAGAGGTCTGAATTTTATCAAACACCTGTTCAGTAACTATGAAAATAATCAAAGGATTTTTCTCCTTTTCATTATAAGATATAATTAATAGTTTTCTGCTATTTTCTCTATTCTTAACAGTTCAAGCTAAGTTAGTAAGTTATTTTTGCATTACTAGAATAAATTTCATTTGCTCAAATCCCTCATGTAAAATGATGTAATATCTGCATATAACCTGCACACAACCTACCATATACTTTACGTTACCTCTAGATTACTTATAGTAGCTAATATAATGCAAATGCTATATAAATAGTATCATACTGCATTATTTAGAGAATGACAAAAAAAAGTCTGTACATATTCAGTAAAGATGCAACCATCTATCTTTTTTTTAATATTTTCAATCCATGGTTGGTTATGGAACCCATGTATGTGGAGGGTTGACCAGATACTGTTTTCTAAAAAAATTATACAATTTTATTCCCCCCCGCCCTTTGACCAAGGTTAAGTTTTAAAATTTCCAGGTAGAAGGAACTTTTATTTTCTGATTTCATTAGTAATTTCCAGTTGTACTACATTGTGGTACTATCATATTATTTTACTCTATGAAATCTATTCAGTCTTTCTTTCTTTTTTTTTTTTTTAATTCGGTCTTTCTTTGTTACATAGAATTTAGTTAATTTTCATCAATCTTGAAAAGGTGTATTCTCCTATCACATCAGAGAGCAGATATAAGAACTATCTCACTGAGAATCTGTTTAATCTGCCCCCCCCACACAATTTGAAAAAGTACTTCCCCAAAAACAAGATATGCAATGGCCAATGAAAAATAAACTTGTAGAAAGTTACTCAACATCATTACTCATAAGTGAAATTTTAATCATGCTGTCACTTCAAATTTTCTATACAGTTGCAATGTAAAGTCTCACAGTACCATGTATTGAACAATATTGACAACAACTGAGACTTTCATTACATGTTTGGTTGAATGTAAACATGTTCCACATTCCGGTAAACTACTGGTAATGTTTGTTTACTGAAGCAAAATCTATGCTAACCCTATTTATCTTTATGTGGTTCACTTGGACTGAGACACATATTCTCTGTTCTCCTATGTTAAGGACTCTTCTTTGATTTTTTTTTTTTTCGAGACAGAGTCTCACTATGTTGCCCAGGCTACAGTGCCGTGGCTGTCAGCTAGATACGCAACTCCAACTCCTAGGTCAAGCAATCCTTCTGGCCTCAGCCTCCGAGTGGCTGGGACTACAGGCATGCACTACTATGCCCGGCTAATTTTATATATAAAATATATATTATATAATATTATACATACACTATATATATATATACATATATATATATATTTTTTTTAGTTGTCCAGATAGTTTCTTTCTATTTTTAGTAGAGATGGGGTCTCACTCTTGCTCAGGCTGGTCTTCTTTGATTCTTGTCTCCACTATATTCAATCCCTTATACTTTTCCCTTTACAAAAACTGATGTTGGCCGGGCGCTGTGGCTCACGCCTGTAATCCTAGCTCTTGGGAGCCGAGGCGGCGGATTGCTCAAGGTCAGGAGTTCAAACCAGCCTGAGCAAGAGCGAGACCCGTCTCTACTATAAATAGAAACAATTAATGGCCACTGATTATATATAAAAAAAAAAAATTAGCCGGGCATGGTGGCGCATGCCTGTAGTCCCAGCTACCGGGAGGCTGAGGGAGAAGGATCACTCGAGCCCAGGAGTTTGAGGTTGCTGTGAGCTAGGCTGACGCCACGGCACTCACTCTAGCCTGGGCAACAAAGCGAGACTCTGTCTCAAAAAAAAAACAAAAAAAAAAAACTGATGTTAACTATTTCAATAATCACCTGGAAAGCTGATGACTTCCAAATCTCTACATACTTACACCTGAGCTCTAGTCCCCAATTTCCAAATATTCAGACAATAACTTCATTTTATTTCCTATCATGGATTCAATCTCAGCTAAAATCAAATCCACCTTCTTCCAAGGTCTGCTCTTGGATCCAAATTCTGCTCCAACCTTTGTGATAGCTCTTTATACTTATAAAAAAATTTCACCTTGCTTATCTTTTTATGTGAATGACTTGTCTTACAACAAACCAGATTTGAAGATCATGAAAGGAAGGAATGGAGTAGTATGTATATTTATAACCTGATGAATATCAATTCCAGAACCCAACACTGCCTGATGAAGAAATAAGCAGCATTTATGAAATGTTGGTAAATGACTCTAAGCTTAAGCCATCAGCTTCATGGTATGGGTGGAGGAAGCAGGGAGTGTAGGGTAAGGATTGGGTCTCAGGGCCCCAAAGTACATGGCCAAAGTGTTCCTTGAGCTGGCAACATACCCACAGCCAGACACCAAAAATAAATGCTAGCTTTGCCCAAGACACAGGAAAAAGTTAGTGTAATAAATATGATCTTACAGTTTTCTCTAAAATAATATTACATAAAGCAATCTGTGAGAAATTAACTAGGCTCATTATGTACCACTACCCCTGACCATACAGTATAACATAGCTAAGAGCTGAACACTCATAATGGATTTTTATCACCCCAGGCAACTCCGAAAACCTACTTTCTGCTCAACTTCAGCCTCAGAAGCAAACAGCACTGAAGGTAAAGGAAAAAGTATTAGGCACTCAGTAAAGACATTTGTGAGGGCATCTACTTCTAGGTAGCAGCACATTTCTAGGGAAAAGGTAAAGCATGTTTAGGCAGATTATAGAGAGACTGCTGCCAGATCAGTTCATATTTAGCAGTGGGGACACTTGTCTACCATTATTGGGAAATGAGAACAATGAAGAATGCCCACTCACCAACCATATAGAGAATTCAAATACAAAATTGTGAGAAATGCTCCAGCAGACAGCATAGTTCTGCCATCACTGCAAATTCTGATGTTAGATTCCATGAATCCAAATCCCTGCTCCTCTACGTATAGCTGTGTGACCTTTAACAAATTTCTTAACCCCTCTGTGTCTCAGTTCTGTCACTTGTAAAACAGTAGTAATTCCTATATCCCACAATAGTATTGTGAGAAGTATGTGGGATAATAAAGGGAGTGTACTTGGACTAATGCATAGGAAGTAATAGCAAATAAGGGCTTGTTAAGTGTTAGACATTATTTTCATCATAGTGGGATATATTTTCACTTATACTACTAGGTTTCACATCTACTAACATCAAAAAAAATGAGGAGGTACTTAAAAGAATTACTCATGTGTCCAATGAAAACACTAATTCAAAATATATCTGTTGTGAGAACAGGATCCAAAAAGTCGGTTCAGAACAGTTTGCCTACATTTTCTGTTTGTAGGTCTTTCTTACCAAGAGAAGTCCCCGCGCCCCTCACTTCCCCCAAAATATAAGGGAAATGGCCACCTACAGCTGGAGCTCTATGGCTAGGCTCTGCCACGTGGGATAAAACAAAAATAAAACAAGTATGTGCATGTATGCTTAGCATGTGTGAATAGTGCCTCAAAAGCTCAAGAAATGAAGGACAGTTTTCCTACAGCATACAACCTGAACAACAAAGGACCTGATTTCTTACCCAGTAATGTCATCTCCCCAACGTCACTGTCTTCCTTCTCTGAGGTAGACTGTTGAGCAGGATCCAGGCTCACACATTCTTCTTGGGAGTGAAATACATTCAAATCCTCAAAGACCGCCAACTCCTGAAAGACCAAAAGGCCCCTTTCCTCTCAGTAACTGAGTTTCCTTGACAGCCCTGTTGGTAAGAAAGACTGACACACAAAGATTATGGAAAAGTATGCCAAAAGGGATCTATAAATCCCACATAAGTGCAGTGCATACAGAACAGCCAGGCTGAGAGGAGCCAGAGGAAAAGTACAAGAAAAATGCTCAAGGAGACCGACTCCTAAGATTGTGTTTTCATACACGAACTGGCCAATCAGGGAAGGTGATGCATTCAGTGAATACAACTCAACCCACCTCAAGGTCAGCTTTCAAACACAGAGAAGGTGTCTCCTGTTGCTGCTGGACTCCTTCTCTGGGCAGAAGCTTCACTAAAGGATGAGGATGCACTGTGGAGAGAGGAAGCTGTAGTTAGTGAAAAACTCCATAACTCTAATACAGAGACTGTACCCATACCTTGAGGCTGAGCTGTCCTTACTCTTTTGGCAGACAACTCATGGTCCTTTCTGCTCCTGTGAGCCCTGACAGAATTCAAGCTATAAATCCTAGGATCTCAAACCTATATGAGGTCTCTTCATTATAAAAAGGAGGAGTCCCCAAAGAGTCTTTCAAAATTTCCCCCACAGTGCTCCTGAGGTGGAGATGGGAGGAAGGCAAGGAGTGAAGATGCCCAGAGCAAGTAGAAAATTTCTAAAATCTGACAAACTGAAATCAACTTGATCATTCATCTTATTTCTCTATCCTAAAAAGATATTTCCCCCAGAATGTTTGGGTAAAATTGACACTACAGAAAGACACACACGATTATTCTATGGCCTTACACATATCCAGTATATCACTCAGGCTCCAGCTTGAGAAAAAAGTACTTCCTCTTTCTAGCATGTCAACTTATTAAATTAACTCCTTTCTCAATAAACACCATCCTAACTTGAATTCATTACTAACATGGAAGCCCATCTTAGCCCCTACTTCCACCCCTTTCTTTTCTAGTGCAACAAGCACATGCTTCTCACCTCTGTTCTGAAGGCTTGAGCTCACATCCTTCATAATAACCAAAGTCTCCTTGACTTTCTGACTGGGCTGGGCCAGGCTTGGCTTAGGTAAGAAGGTGAGGAAGTGCTCCAGAACTAGCTGGTGGATGGTCTTGGGCCCACTAGTGGCATCTCGAAGTAGGTCCTGGCCCAGCTTAGAATCTGGTGGAACTCTTAGTATAAAGGACTGCTTTGGCTTTGGAGGCATAGGAACTACTTTTGCAGTCATCATGCCTTGCAACCAAAGACCACACTGGTTTCTGGGGGCTTCCGGAGCCACCTCTTACTGAAGGAAATCTGCCAAATAGCCAAGCTGCAAACAGAGAAACCATAGATTACCCACAAGATCAAGCAGGACATGACTACACTCCAATATGTGGCCTGGGTAGTAGTGAGACCACGTGAGATCTAAACGAGCAGGGAAAGACAGCTGGAGTAGAGATAAAACAACTGAAACGCAAGGTCCCTGAACAGGATACTCTTAAGAGGGCTGAACGACAGACCCTGAGAATGAAAACCAAAGGCTGCCCAAACCTCAAGGGCCAACAGAAGGAAGCAAAGGCAGCAGGCAGAAGATCGAGGGCCAGTCTCCTGAGAAATACGAAGTGCAAACTCCACTCGGTAAAGGAGTTTAACTTATGCTTGTGAAAGAGCAATGAGTTAAAAGAAAAATCTGGGGTCCAATTCTGAGGACATCTGCTTAGAAGCTGGTTGGTCATTGAATCTGACCCTATTGCACCCCTCAGACCAGAACTCTGTCAGGTGTCCTTCGGGGGTGCGGTTGACGACTCTCCAAGGGAGCAAACACAAGGCCGCATGAGGTGACCACACGTGACCTCCTTAAAGCCCTGTTGAGAACGGCAGGGGTCATCCCACGAGGGCCCACTGGGCCAGGCCTACTCTGGGGCCTCTCCCCCAGGCCAAGGGGGCACCTTTATCACAAAGCCCATCCGGTAGCACTAACCGGGGCGTGCGCCAGACTACCTACCTGGCCTTGCTCCCCCAGTAACCGACTACGCTCCGCTCTCCCCAGAGGCTGCCTCAGCCACGATCTCACCCTCGCGAAGCCCCTCACCTCTTTGGGCTTCTACCCCCCCAGAGCCTTCCTTGGGACGGCTCACATACCCAGGCTCCGGGAGAGACCGGAAAGCTAGATGCCAGAGGCCAAGACCTCCCCTCACACTTCGGTGTGTCCCCACGGACCGCCGGCAACTATTCGTGCGCGCCGCCGCCAGTTGAGGAGGACGACCCTGACGCGGTGCCTTCTGGGAGGCCGGGTGCCTCCGCAGCCGTGGCGTCACGACCGGTGCCTTGTTTCCGGTGCGGAAGCCTGGTCTCCCCGCTCAGAGCGAGCAGTCTCCTTTTAAGAGAGCGAGGCTCGTGGCTGGCCGGCGAAGTTCTCAGGGGCGGAGAGAAGCCAAGCCGGCGGCAGCCGCGCCCTCTCTGTGGCTGTGCCTGGGAGACAGAAAGCAGTAAGCTGGCTGCAGTCCTCCACGACGCACTGGCACCACTCCAAGTGCGGCCACCCTAACTCCATGGCCTGCTGGGAAATGTAGTTCAGCTCCAAACAGCCAATGGGAGGCCGTCAGATTCGGCGGCTGGGGCGGGGCAGGGCCAAGGCATGACCGGAAGCCGACTGTCTCACTGACCGGAAAGTCTGCGCAAGGCTGCCCGCCGTTTCCGCCGCAGCATCCGGCCGCTCAAAGGACTTTGGAAGGGGCGGGAATGGGGTCAGCATGGCACTCCTTCATGCCCTGGAACTCTCTCACCGTACCCTTCCTTAGTGCAGGAAGTCCACTAGGTCAGAGGTGGGGAGTCATTCCCTCGCGCCAGTTTGACAACTTATACATTGCTGTCTGGACTGGCCGTTTTTTGTTCTGAGGTCTTAGTCGTTCTTCTCAGACCGTCTGTCTCCATTTCCTTTCTCAATTTCAGCCTCCCACGGAGGCTGAACAGCATCTTTTTAGTCCCTGCGTTGTTTCCATACTCAGTTAATTCCCCAGTGAAGCATTTATCAGGGTTGGGCAGGAATGGCTTTATCCCTCTATGCAACAGCCTCCAGAAGATGACAAAAGTAAAAATATAAATAAATGCTTTTTCTTAACGCTAATTATAGCTGACTCACTTAACCAGGGTTTAAAATACATTAAAAAGAAAGGAATATGAAAACTGCGTGGCACCAAAAAATTGTTGAAAAATAAGAAATACCAGCCTTTCCCAACATCAAAATTTACTAAAAAGCCTCCTTTAGTCAAAGTACGGCTTGAACTATGAGTAAACAAATAAAACAGTATAAAAAAATAGTACATCCCCAAACTTACCTGAATATATGTGGACCTAGATGAAAGGATAGCATTTCAATTTAAAGTGAAATAGATGGTGCTACCAAAAATTGTCTACTCTTCTGTGAAAACAAATAAGACCCCTCCCGTCCTTTTATACTACGTACAAAAATGGAGTGTAATAAACAGTAAAAGGGCAAGTTTAACATTGAGGCAAAACAGAAAACTGGGATGCCTTAAAGTGAAATTATAAGTTTTAAAAACTTATTTTAAACATTATTAACAAAGTCACACAAGTAATAGACTGGAAAATAATTGTAAAAGATAAGCCACATAAAGAATTAGACGTTCCCAGCACGAAATGAGCCCCTGCCTACAGACAAAAGACAAAGGCAACAGCTCTACTGAGGAGGAAAACGAATTGGTCATTAACATTTGAAAAGATGCTTAACCACTGGTCAAAATTACCACTTTAAAAGGGGACATTTTTCACCTATCAAACAAAGAATAAAGTGGAGTAATAGGCACTCTCTTTGCTGGTAGTGTGGTGTGTGCCATTATTTTGTAATATAAATTAAAATTAAAAATACAGGTATGTATTCTTTGACCTTCACAATCTCATCTGTGAATCTGAACTCTAGAAATTTCTTGTAGAATTCTTTGTAGTGACAAAAACTGGAAACAACATGTATGTTCATCACATCAGTAAGGAAAGAATTGAATAAATTGGCTCATTGATGCTCTGGAAATTACATAGCAATGAAGAAGAAAGGATTAAAACTATATTTAGACCTGGGCAGATGGCCATAAAATATTAAATGTAAAAAGCAATTTCAGAGTTATGTATATAATGCATAATTATATTTTTGGAACAAACAGAAAACATCTTGTGTGTTTGTATTGAGGGATACACACTAGATGATTAAAATGGTTACTCTTGCGTTGGGGGTGGAAATAGAGGGGAGTAAAGGAGGAGAGTAATCATTTTTTGGGTTATGTCACTTCAATTTTGTACTAAAAATAATAAAGCCTTAATATGAAAAAATGAATGAAGATTTTTTTAAAAAGTTGTTGCCATCCTGTTTTTAAAAACTGATCAGTAAAATGGATGTCATAAATAGATTTGAAATATCAGACCTTACTCTAGTGTATAAATAATGTATAGATCTGCAAATGCCTTTTAACATGCAAAGATAGTCATTGTCACATACAATTAAAGAAATGCAATTTTTACATTATTTTTATATTTTATATTATTTTATATTAATAAAACAAGAATTACAAAATTAATATTCAGTGTTCTGAAAGCAAATTAATACAACTATTTAAGAGGGCAAGATGGCACTATTTTAAAAAGTAAAATGTTCATAAACTTTGTAACATTCAATTCTCAGAACTTTGAAGAAAACTACACAGATAGTATAGCTTTTTTTGAATGTCAAAAACTTGGTTAAATTATATGTTTATACAGTGGAATCCAATGCAACCATTAAAAAGAGAGAAAATAAATGAAAAGATAAGTTAAGAAACAATGTATATAATGTCATTTTTGGAATAGTTTTTTTTAACTAGAGGAATATACAACAAGAGTTAATGCTTATCTGTAAGGAGTAGGATTAGAGGGAATTTTTCACTTTTTGTGTTTTATAAATCTGTAAATTTTCAAATAATGGGAGTTATTTTTATAATTGGAAAAAAAACAGATATTTAAGAGGTTTCTTTCTATAGACACATACCACCACACCTGGATAATTTTTTAAATTTTTTTGTAGAGATAGGGTTTACTGTGTTGCCTAGGCTAGTGTCAAACTCCTGGTCTCAAGTGATCCTCCTGCCTTGGCTTCCCAATGTGCTGGGATTACAGATGTGAGCCACCACACCCAGCCTGATTACTGATATTGTCTAATCTAGATTCTAGTAGTGAAGATAGAAAGAGGAGTTGGGATAGGAGTCTGAAGTTTAATCTTCATTTGATTCTTCTTTTTGGGGGGTTCTTACAACCCTTCCCTTTACATTTCTTTAAATGAGGGAGGATAGAGGGGTATCTGTGAACTTGAACAACCTAATATTCCATAGCCCCATAGATTTTCCCCTACAAACCAAGGTAGAAAAATCTGACACTTGGAATATGTGTCAAATGCTTTTCTACTATAGCAGCCCCATCTCTTTCGGGGTATTCAGTAGGACAATGGGATTCCACAGTGATCAACTGAGTGATAAATGCAATTATGACCAAATTTTCTAATTGGTTTATTCATGAAGTCCAGCCAATATTCTTAGGAATCATAGTTCATTAATCTAGGCACACAAATACCTCTATAAAAATCCATTCTGGGGGGGAGGGGGGCATGGGCAATATATGTAACCTTAACACTTGTACCCCCATAATACGCTAAAAAAAATCCAGTCTGCTTGTATTTTCTCTAGGCTTCAAGGCAGGGGCAGATAGAATGGGTCCTCAAGGCAGGAGCAGATAGAATGAGGGGACACATCCTTGCCATGAGCAGAATCTTCTGCCTCAGGAGCATCTGAGAGTGCTACTTCCTGCAGTGATTGATTATGCAACAGCCACCCACTTCCTCTGCTGAAATCCACGGCATGTCGTCAGTGTGTGTGTCGTCTCCACCCTTGATTTAATAATATTTTTGTGCCTGGCCTATCTCTGCTATGAGTGGGTAAGCTCTTGTGCACAGTAACCATTTTGTCATTCATTACATTGCCTATAGCAGTTGGCACCCAGACGGTGTTCCATAATGACTGTTGAGTGTGTGGATGCAAGGTACGAGGCCAGGAGCTGGAAGAGAGATGCAGTCTTGGGCATTCAGTGAGGCCCCTGGTCATCCACTGGACAGATGGTAAGAGGACCCGTGTTCTTCCCTCCATCAGGCATCCCAGGGCTGAAAATAGGCTGAAGGGGTGTAGAGGAAGAGATGCTGGTGAATGTGTAGATGTGGGATCGGGCAGTCACATTGTAAAAGGAAATTTCTCTAGCCTTGTAGTCCAGGAAGATGCCCACACGCCTGGGGGGCTCCTTCATTAGCAGGCGGGCTGGGGGACAAGTGGACGCCTGGTACTCATTACGCTTCATCATCATCACCACCCAGTAGCCATTCTCTGGCGTCAGAGTTATGCTCCCCTTCCTGCTCAAGGATGACTTGCAGACTCCCAGGACCCACGCTGTCTTGTCTCCGACCTCCACCTCCCAGTAATAGCAGCCGGAAAGGAAGCTTGGAGAGCCCAGGGCAATGATGCAGTTATTAAATCTTTCTGGGGCATCCGGCAGCCACTCCCACTTGTTTCCAAGTCTCACGCTCTTCAGATCATCAGAGATGGTGAGTTTGGGGTGGGCAGTTTCTGCATCCAGAATCACGTTAACTGCAGAGAGAATCAGAATACCTAGCTGGAGGTCCATGGGCAATGTCCCCAAAGAGTTTACCCCACCTCCAGGAAACAAGGACAGGGCTGGTCTTCTGGAATGTGGTGGGGGACAGCAGAGGGACCCAGCAGGCCAAGGCCACTTGCCTTGATCTGGGCACTTACCAGCATGAGCCTGAGCACGAATCAGTTCTGGAACTACAGAGAAAAATAAGATGGGGTAGAAACGTCCTGAGCATTCACACTTAGAGGGGCTAAATTACACTGTCCCACAAGGGAAGACAAGGATCCCCCTGCTCAGCACCTGCATCCTGCACTTGGGTACAGCCCTGTTCCTCCCAGCCACCTGGGTCTGCCCTGCAGACTCCATGATCTAATGAGTTAACTCAACCAACAAGTCAGACACCAAGCCTGTGGAGCCTGCCATGGCTTTCCTCCTGCCCTTGTTACAGGTGTTTTCTAAATAGTGCCCTCAAATGAACAGCACAAGGGAATGTCCCAGTAACCCCTGGGCTGCTCCCACTACCACCACTCTACTCACCATTGAACGTTTCCATTTCCGAAAGAAGTTTTTCTAAAAAAGAGGGGAAAGGAGCAGGGAGAGGCTCAAGTTAGGTCCCTTCTCTAGGGACAGATCAGGGAGAGGCCGAAGGCAGGTCAGAAAGGCCGTGGAGATGGGGAGGGAAAGCCAGGGGCTCTGGGCTGCACACATCTCGGGGAGGAGGTGAGCAAGCACCTCCAATCTTCCCCCAAGCCTACTTACCTGAGAAATGCCTCATGCTTTTCTCCACAAACTCTGATTTCTTGTAGAACAGGTGGATTTTTTCTTTCATCTCTGGAGGAGTGGCCCACAGCTTAGGGACAGGCACAGTCCTGGCCCTAGAGACAAGAGACTGTTGAGCAGAGAGGGCTGGAGCAAGGGGGTGGCCCCAGGGCCTGTGAGCTGGAAGTGACGTGCAGTTTCTACAGGGCACACCCAGCCCAGCCAGGACTATGCAAAGAAAAGTCCTCCCTGTATCTCTAAACACACTGGTCCTCAACTTTGGCCACAGACTGGCACCTAATGGGGAGCTTTAAAAAACACTGATACCGAAACCACAATGAGTTTTAATAATGGCCTTAAAATGGTATTGATATTTTCTACTGGAATTATCTATGTTAAATTAATTATACTCTCCTAGTCTTTTTCTTTCTACTGAAATAAAAGTGATAATAGGCCGGGCGCTGTGGCTCACGCCTGTAATCCTAGCTCTTGGGAGGCCGAGGCGGGCGGATTGCTCAAGGTCAGGAGTTCAAAACCAGCCTGAGCAAGAGCGAGACCCCATCTCTACTATAAATAGAAAGAAATTAATTGGCCAACTGATATATATATAAAAAATTAGCCGGGCATAGTGGCGCATGCCTGTAGTCCCAGCTACTCGGGAGGCTGAGGCAGAAGGATCACTCAAGCCCAGGAGATTGAGGTTGCTGTGAGCTAGGCTGACGCCACGGCACTCACTCTAGCCTGGACAACAAAGTGAGACTCTGTCTCAAAAAAAAAAAAAAAAAAAGTGATAATAAATGAGAAAAAAAAAACCCATAATAAAATATCACTTCACACCCAGTAGGATGACAATGACAAAAACAACAGAAAATAACAAGTGTCAACAAAAATGTGGGGAAATTGGAACCCTCATGCATTGCTGTTGGGATGCGAAATGATGCAGCCACTGTGGCAAACAGTACGGAGGATCCTCAAAAAAGTAAACATAGAATTACGACATGATCCTGGAACTCCACTTCTGGAATTATATACCCAAAATAATGGGGCTT